TTTGGTTTGGTTTGGTTTGGTTTGGTTTGGTTTGGTTTGGTTTGGTTTGGTTTTTCGAGACAGGGTTTCTCTGTGTAGCCCTGGCTGTCCTGGAACTCACTCTGTAGACCAGGCTAGCCTCAAACTCTTGAACTCAGAAATCTGCCTGCCTCTGCCTCCCAAATGCTGGGATTAAAGGTGTGCGCCACCACTGCCTGGCATGACTAAGTCTTATAAACAGAATGTTGAATGCACAAAGAATAATAAAGAAGGAAAGAAAGGAAGAAAGAAAGAAAGAAAGAAAGAAAGAAAGAAAGAAAGAAAGAAAGAAAAGAAGAAGGAAAGAAAAAACTCATCTGGCTGCTAATATCCAGCACTCATGACACAGAGGCAGGAGGATCACAAATTGGAGGCTAGTCTGGGCCTCCATATTAGCCTGGTTTAGGCCAGCTACAAAGTGAAAAGCTGTCTCAAGAAAAAAAGGAGGGGGGAAGGGGTGGCTGGCAAGGTTGCTCAGCAGGTAACTTACTGCCAAGCCTCATGGCTTTGACCCCTGGAATACACGGGGTGGAAGGAGAGAGTCTAGTCTTCCCAGTTGCCCGCTGGCCTCTACATTCGTGTTATGACACATGGACTCACACACAACGATACATTTTTAAGCCTAATATATCCTGACAGGACTTGGGATGTGGTGCAGTGTTACTGTGCCTGGTGCCTGTGTAGCATACATAGGGGCTCCGAATGTAATCTCCCACACCATGAAACAATCAGAACCCCTAATCCACTGTGGTAGACATCACCTCCAAGGTAGGAGTATAGATTGGGAAGGGACAGGAAGGAATCTTCTTGGAGCTGGTATTGTTCCATACCTCAACCACACTACCCTAGAAAAATTATGTTAGACTTTGATTAAAAAGTATTATTCAGCCAGGTGGTGGTGGCGGCGGCGCACGCCTTTAATCCCAGCACTTGGGAGGCAGAGGCAGGCGGATTTCTGAGTTCGAGGCCAGCCTGGTCTACAGAGTGAGTTCCAGGACAGCCAGGGCTATACAGAAGAAACCCTGTCTCGAAAAACAAACAAACAAACAAACAAACAAACAAAAAAAGTATTATTCACATGTCTTTCTCATGTACCTTCATGCAATACATACAGAAGCCCAAAGAAGCCAGGATCTCCTTTCAGGGCATAGCTGGCCAGCCTCAGAACAGAGCTCCCTCATGCAAGCTACCAACCAGCTCCTACAGGACTTCCAACTCTCGGAGTCCAGACAGGCCCTGAGGAGGCTTACCCGAAGAGAAGGAAGAAAGGCTTACCTGGCGAGCCAGCTGACGTTTCTCATCCTGAAAACTGTTGACAAACTCATAGAGCTTTTCCCACTCCTGGAACTGGCTGCTGTTGAAGCCGGGATCCCCAACCAGTAGCCACCAGACCCGGCAAGGTAGAAGCAAGACAGACTCCACGAGGCGGCCAAGAAGTGGGAAGAAGCTGAACCAAGTCAAGAAGGAACCCAAGGTTTCTGCGACATAGTTAATGGTGGCAGCTGTGTTACACATGGTACTGTACACCAGTGGGCCTGTGAAGGCGAGGTAAGCCAAACCCACACGGTAGAGCCGCACACTAAGTGTCTCTGACCCTGCTGAAGCTTTGTACCGCCGATGCTTCTGGGCTGTAATGCTGGCAGCCAAACTAATGGGCAGGATGGCTATGGCACGGCCATAGAACACAGGGGAAGTGAGGAAGGCCGCTCCTAAGGTGTTTTTAAAGTCTGAGGTCTGGTTACCAACAGCAGCTACCAGCAAGACCCCTAAGCCAACGGCCAGTGGGAGGCCCACTATATAGAAGTTGGCCATGGAAGAAAGGCTGACCAGAGCCACGAGACCAAAATAGACACCCACTACCATCTGGGAAGCAAAGCGAAGGAGACTCAGTGGTGGTCTCTCCTCTTCTGGCCTCTGTCTCCAACTCTGGACTCTGTTGGCTTGAGCTACAAAGCTTGGGAGCTTCCAGAATTCCCAGAGCCAGCCCAACCCCCCACCTCCCAGGGTGAGCATCCAGAGCAGAGCATGGGTGTCTCTTCCCAGGTATAGGTGGTGGAGTCCAACAGGACCCCCAACAGCCCAAAGGGCATAGGTCATCAGGAGCCCTTTGGCCATCCTCTAGGACAAGAGTCTCAGAGAAAATCCAGTGGTGTTTGACACTGATCAAACTGCAGAAATCTCAAGGTCCTCTGTGAGAATCACCATAGTCCAGTTATCCTTAGACCTGAGAGGTGGAGCAAGAAGAAAGACTCTGAGGTAATAAAAGTCAAGCTAGTCCTACCTCAGGGTCTCTCAGGTACTAGATGTCTCCTATCTTTGGTTAACACCCCAGTCCTGTTATTTATAGTCATAGTGACTCCATATTTAGGGGAGGAAAATGTTTCAGGTAAAATATTTTCACTTAGTTATTATTATTTAATTAATATTTGAGGCACTGTCTTTTTTGTTTTTGTTTTTGTTTTCTGAGACAGGGCTTCTCTGTGTAGCCCTGGCTGTCCTGGAACTCACTCTGTAGACCAGGCTGGCCTCGAACTCAGAAATTCACCTGCCTCTGCCTCCCAAGTGCTGGGATTAAAGGCGTGCGCCACCATGGCCCGGCAAGGCACAGTCTTATTATGTGTCCTAATTTGCTCTTATGTGGCCATAGTTGAGGACGTCCTGGTCTTCCTGACCCCACCTCCCCAAGTGCTGGAGTTACAGGCATGTGCCACCATGTCCAAGGAAGAGAATGTTTTAAGTGACTTTAGTTGGGACACTGAGAACTGAGTTGATGCCTGAACAACAACAAAAACAAACAATCCAGAAGCTTGGGACTAAAGGGTGACCTGGGGTTTAATTCCCAGCACCCACATGGCAGCTCATAGATGCCCTTTTCTGGTCCCCATGGGCATCAGGCATGCATGCAGTGTACACACAAAGATTCAAGCAAAACACCCATGCACATAAAATAAAATTTTAAAAGAATAAAAACAATAAGGGGGGAAGAAAGGAAACTAAAATTTCTATCTTCCCCTCAGACCCTGGAACAGTAATGGTTCACAGGAAAGAGCTGAAGAGAACACTTTTTTTTCCCCACTGTTTCAAACCCCTTTGAAAGCCAGTGTCTTATCCAAACTCACCCCTCTAACACCGTGTGTGTGTGTGTGTGTGTGTGTGTGTGTGTGTGTGTGTACTCTCAGTAACCTGGCCAAAGGTTTTAGCCTTTTCTAGCTTTCCCATCTCCTCAGACTATGTCGTTCTCCCACAAGTCAAATTTGAAAGGGATCCTAAACTCCTTCCACTTAAACATTCTGGAAAACATTTTGATCTAGACCTTAGCACCCCACAGTCCAGCCATCCTATCCCTATCAACAAGGTTGAAGTCACTCTACAAAGAGGCCGCAAAAATCCTCAGAATATCAACTCTGCCTGCCAGTATGTCTTACCTACTTCAAGAGAACTCACCCTCAGGCAGTCCCAGTAGGGCCGCAGTACTGGCTGCCAGGCCACTTCAGACCAGTCATTTCCTTTGACCACAGATTCAAAATGGCCCCTCTGTTACTGCTCCCACTTCCACACAAGTGGACTTTGTCTCTCAGTGCTGACTGTGTATCTGAAGTCAGGCCACCTCCCCCAGGCCCCGCCCCGAAAGCACTGGTCAATCCCTTCGGAGCCACCTTCCGGTCCTGCATTCCTGTGCTCGCCCTCAGCCCTCACTGGTGAACTCTACAGGCAGCTTTCCCCAGGCTCGTCCAGTTTTATACTGTAGGGCCTGGAACCGCGCCCCACTCCCGGCAGAACGCACCTCTTGCAGCACGTCACTAAAACCGCCAGGTGGCGCTGCCGTTTACGGAAGGGATGGTCCCCAAAAGTCCCAGATCTCCTTTTTTGCAAGATTGGGACAGACATTCCTGGCCAAAGCTGTCCAGATTGTGCAGCTACCTGGCGGGAGAAAAAAAGGCGACCCTATCAATAACATTAAAAATCTTGTTTTCTTCTTCTCTCCCCCACAAATGGGAGGCGATCCCTATCTCACGTCAGGCTGCACGCTTCTCTCTCCATACTCCAAGACGGCCATTATAGGATCGCTTCTAATTTCTTAAGGGAGAGACATCCAACCATAAGGCAAAAAGGAGAGCCCATCAAGACCCCTACTTTTGCCTTCACTACCTTGCTTCCAGGCGTTCCAGTTAGGGGACTCCACACCCAGACCTGAGAGTCTGAGCCTGCATAGCCCAGAATCCGGAGAGCCTGAAGCTGTTCTGACTCTTGTAGCCTGAAGCAAAGGGATACAGGGTGGAGGCGTGCCATCAGAAGAGTAAGGCCAAACCCAGGACTGGGGAGAGGAGCCTGCCTTCTCGCTTGGGTGCTGGAATGGAGCTGGCATACAAGATGCCCTCAATATTTCAGGCTCCAATCCGAGTGCAGCTCTGTGACCTTGGCCAAGTCACACCCTTTCCTGAGCTTCAGTTTCTTTCAAAAGAAGCTCGGATCTACGAGATTTCCCAGGCTTGACTAGAGGTAGGGATGGAGCCAGTGGGCCTCACTTAGGGTCACCGGTCAACAGTGAGCAGAGTGTTTTAGCTCCCTCCAACGTCTAGCCCTAGCTGGGATAGGAATGCGACTCGGGATATGGCCCTTTTAAGGCTGAGGAGGGGCGACAAAACGACAACCCAGCTACGGCTGGGGACGGGGGCGGACAGGGACGCTGAATAATGAATGAGACTTAATTGGGCCCGCTCTGCGCGGCGGCGCGCTAAGCTTGGCAAACAGCGCGGGCAGCCGCCGCCGCCGCCGCTGGACAAACAAACTCGCTCGGGAGCCGGGAGCCCAGTGCGAACCGCCGGGAGGGGGAGGGGACCCCGGGGAGCCAGGTCTCCTGTGCGCAGGAGGGGCCCAGAAGTGCCCAGAAACGCGGGAGGGATAAAGGCTCTGGGAAGGAAGGACGAGGGAGGGAGCGAAGCAGATTTTGGCGTAGAGCCCTGGGACCCAAGGGTAATGTAAGCGCGTGGAAAAGATGGAGAAAAGAGTGGAGGATGGAGAAGAAAGTGAGAAATGAGCGAGGAAAAGGCACATCTGGAGGAGGGTGGCGGAGGGTGAGAGGCGAGGGAAGAACCATTACTGTGAGGACAGGGCAGAGCGATGGAGAAACGAGGAGGAAGGACACGGGGGACCTCCGTGAAGATGAGTCAAGGAGAGGGACGAGAACAGGGGTGACGGGGTGGGCGAGAGGCGCCCCTGCCTGCGCCTCGCCCTGCCTCGCTCCCGCCCTAGCGCTCTCTCCAGCCGTCCGCACTCACTTTGTCACAATTACGGGGCCGTCACTCGGCCGGGATTGTTTTCCCCAAATTGTTGTTCTATAAACTGGCGCGGGGTGGGAGGTGGGGGTGGGGTGGGGATCTGACAAGCTGAAGCGGGAGGGGAGCGTGTGAGCAGCTGTCGAGGGCCAAGGTAACATATTTACCCGCCCAGGGCTGGCCTTGGCGGATATACAGAAACGCACCAGGAAATTAATAGCCACCCCAACCTTCGCCACTGATTCCGATTTTCACCTTCCAGGCCTCTCTGGGTCTCAGCTGCCTCGGTTTCCCCAACCGAACGAGGCAGATAATGGAGGCCGAGTCGATGACCAGGTAGGACCAGAAGTTCCTTAGCTTTGCCCCAGTCTTTCTGGCGGGCGCCCTCAAGTGCCTGCTCACGTCGCAGGTTGGCCACTCTGATTCCTAAGTGTGCCCACGTCCCCTCGCCCCCCGCGCCGCTCGCCACCCTAGACCACCTTGCCGCTCCTCAATTCTGCAAACATCTGTTGCGCCCACTGAGCGAGAACTGCGCTATCTTCCAGCTGCCCCCCCATCCTCCCCCAACACCCGTCCGTCCCCTCCTCTTCCCCCGCCAGCCCAGCCTGTCGGCTCCGTGACAGCCGCCGCCGAAGCCTGGGCCCCGCGGGAGCGGCCGGAGAGGAGACGCTGCATGGCTGGCTCCGACACCGGCCTCCCTCGCGGCTCCAGGGGCAACGGAGGATGGCGGCCGCTGAAGCGAGACCGGAGTCGGCCGCGGGAGTTGGCAGGGCTAGATGGGGAGGGGGGAAGGGGGAGGCCCTGGGTGGGCTCCTCTCGGCTTCTTTTGAATCCTGTCTTTCTCAGTCGGTCGCCCTCGGTCCAGCCTGAGCCGGGACCCTTCCTGCTGAGCGCGCGTGGGATTCAGTAGGTTACCCGCCCCCCCCAATACGCCCCCCCAGTCCGGGTGATTTACACCCGGGCTCCGCTCAGCGGCCGCTTCCCAATCAGGAATATCGACCCCGGGCGGGGCCCTCGGGCCGCATCGATCCCTCTAAGGCTCGGGATTTAAAAATGTCAAATTTGCCTTTTCCAAGCGGGTGGAGGGGGCGGGGGCCAGGAGGAGGGCCGTTTGTAGGGGAGGGTGGACAGCAGGGCATCGACCAGGAGCCTGTGCCCGGAATGAAAAGCGACGGCGGGCGTGCCCTGGCATGGCCTGGTCATTCTTGTGTTCTCATTTGTTGCAACAAGGAAGCTCTATCCCTACTGTCTTGATTCCACAGCACTTACACTGGTTCATTCCCAAAAGCAGGAACCCAAAAAGAAGCAAGGACCACCCCAAATTTGATGAGACAAAATCGAAAGAGACTCCTAAAGGTTAAAACATAGTCCGGGAAAGAGACAAAGCTATAGCGGCTCCAGGATCAACATAGGCCTGGGAAGAGCATGGCAAGCGGAAGCTGCCTTAAAGGTGCCCTATATAAACCAGTGCTCCGGAGATCCAGAATCCCCTGCTCTCTATGTAAGTCCAGGAGGTTCAGCCCTGGTCAGGCTAGGCTCAACTTCTTAGTAGTCTGAGAATGAATGGAAGAGTGGAGACGAATCTAGGTGAAAAAGAGATGATTATAGTGTAATTTGTAATTAGTATTGTCTTCCCAAGGTGTGAACTAGTATTTCACTATGTGATGAACTAGGCCCAAGCAAGCGTCCGAAGGAAGATCGGCGCTCCAGCAACTACTTCTTCTCCAGGCCCTAAGAGATAGATTCGCTTAGAGATCAAAAGATCTGGTCTTTCTGGAGGATGGTAGTGTCTGCAGCCCAGACCATGCCTTTAATCCCAGCACTGGGAAAGCAGAGGCAGGTGGATCTCTGCGTTTGAGGCCAGCCTGATCTACAGAATGAATTCCAGGACAGCCAAGGCTACACAGAGAAACCCCGTCTTGAACAACAACAAAGAAAAAGAAAAAAAAAAGAAAAGGAAGGAAGAAGGAAAGGGAAAGAGAAAAGAATCGGGCCTTTCTCACCCCAGCATCACACAGGTGTCTGCATAGTAGTCACTCCTCTCTCTGAGATCTCCATCAGCCAGAGAAAACCAGATGGATTAGAGATCACATACTGGAGACTGCATATGCTGCCCTTGTAGGGCTGTAGGTTATGAAGAACTCTTGCAGTAATCACATCTCCAAGACTAAGCAATTTAGATATCTAGACTTGGGTCAGGGGAGTGTCTACTGCTTCCAGTGCTTGGGTTAGGGATGATGTAGGTGCTGGAAAGGATCAATTGTCACAGCACTCTCACAGTTAACACCCCACACACCCTCAGGAGCACACCTCAACTGTCACCGTGCGCGCTGCCATTTCCCTGAGAACTGCAGACAGAGCTGACAGCAAGTTGGGGGGAGGCATATACCGGGAGGGGTGTGGTGGCTCATCCTCTACTGATAAAATCAGTGGGATAGGTCACCGACTGACACTCGTAGTCACTGATGTCGATGCACCATCCACTCTATCCTTTGCTGTCGCGCAGCGCACGCCACTGTCACAGTGAGCAAACACGCACATTTCTTCTGAGGTCAGGCACCAAAGCGCCTAGTTTTTAAAACGTAGCTACATCCTTTCTTGGTATCTGACCTTAAATCATCTAGTCCAAGGACAGAGTTTGTCTCCACCTCTGACTCCCTCATTCTTTAATTACGAAGACCGCCAACAACTGAAAGTCCAAGTTCAAGGTAGTCAGGGCCGGGGCTAGGGGGTCGAAGTGAAAAACCAGAAATGGAGGGAGCGATGGGACTGTTAAACGCTCCCTTGCTCCCGTTTCTGCCACTGGGCTGTTTCCCAGCACGTCCACTCGCCGCCCACCCGGCCCTCGTCCGCCTGTCAGTGGAGTAATGAATGCGCGCTCGGGGCCCTGGGCCCCCCCTGAGTCGTTCATCACTGCCAGCACCGCCCACCTCTGCCTCCCGCCGGGAGGGCTCCACGGCAGCCAGGGCCCTGCTCCCCCCACACCCCCACCCCAACCCCGGACCACTAATTGTCAGATTGAGATGTTGATTTGTCAGCTGGGAGCCAGAGCCAAAGAATCCGCAGTAAAACCTGGACTCCTTGAACTTCCTCTTGGCTCCACTTGGGCTCGCCCGGATTTGGAGCATTTCTTGATTTGATGTGGATGGTTTGGATTTTACTCAGGAGAGCGGGGATAAGAAGCGCAGTGTCATTCTAGTCCGATAGGAGGCGCCATAGGCTAGAGGTCCGGCATTTTCCTGAAAGGGGTGGCCTTGGGTTTAGTTCCATGGGACGGGAATGGAGACC